TACATACCTTTTTTTCTTTATCTACCACCAAAATAAATTCCTTTGTACAACTTCTTTTCGAGCCACGATAAACAGTGTTACCAGAATCCTAGATATATAAAATTAGGAATATATTAAGAAAAGATCTTGAGAGAGATGACGCAAAATGATAATAATAATAATTATTTATTTACTTATATAGTGCCCTTTAACATTATAGAATGATCAAAATAATAATTAAGATACTCTTTTCAATAATGTTTTTCCAGTTTACAAAAATTGAACCTATATATATATATAATAAAAATTTACTGCTAATATTTACCATAAAAACTTCCAAAGATGTTCATGCTAGTTTTCTTCCTTTTTTTTGAAAGCATTGCTATCTTCAGAGAGCTTTAATCAATACACCATAAAGGTATGCAGGTCATTTAAAATCAAGAAAATCAAATAAATAAGAGCAGGTCATTTTTAATCAAGAAATAAAAGGTATTTCACCATTACAGTCCGCTAATGTTAATCTAAGTCAGGTTCTTCATGAATTAAATGGTAAATGCAACATTTGCAGGAATATTTCCTCTAAACGATGGCCACTTAAGAGATTTAACAGCTGCCATGAAATTTTAATTTCTTTTATTGATGAATTCACATTATAGTACCTGAACATTAGGAACAGTGACTGTAATCTCATTTTTGTCACCTACAACAAGCTCTGCTGGTCTTGTGGTGTCTACTGACGCTGGTTTGAAGTCATCTGTGATAAAAAGTAAAATGCTTCAAGTGAACCCCAAATCATGGGTCATCCTCGGTGTAAAAACCTGACGAGGTTTTCTTTGTTTCATGAGGTATTGTTTTGCTGTACGCTATTGTTTATAATGTTTTGTTGTCTTTGTTTTAGGTCACTCCTGAGCTTCACAGGTTTTTACACCAAGGATGAGCCCAAATCATTGAATAAAAATGAAGAAATACATAAAAGTAATTGAGAAAAATATGAAATTGAAAAAAAACAGCCAAAATTTTTACTTTCAGCTAGTAAGGTATTGTGATCATTCACCAAGTAGTAATGAAGCTACATTACTTCATTTTTGACTCACCCAACACTACAATGTTTACAGGTTATTGAGTTTATTGTTGAGGTACTGTACTGAGAGTTTTAATTCATTTTCAACGCAATATTACTCCACAGAATAATCATGGAATAAATACGAAGGATGTATTCGAAAAAGGAAATTGTAGATCAAAATGGAAACAAGAAAAAAAATTACTGTATTCAGCTATACGTTCACGACTTGAAAATGTACTGAGTCACTTGTCAGTGCGCATGAAAGAGAAATTGTTTTACCTCAACGAAAAAAACAATTTAATGTGATAAATAAGTGAGCTTACATCTTATTGTATGAAAGGCCGTTTTCGGTCCTCCTTTAGAATGAAAACTACTTCCAAGTCTCAGTTCGAATTCCCTACTGGTGTTGAATGGAAATTCTGGTTCGTTTTCACTCGGTTGGACCGCCATCTTGAAATTGGATTAACATGAGCCTGCAATTCCTTTTTTTTTCAGTTGGGCATGCGCTTTGCTTACCAGACAATCTCAAAGATGGCGGACGAGGCAACGATAGTGAGGGTTAGTGGCTTTAGGTGGTAGAGGAGTTGGAAAGGAAAAGAGCACGGACATTGTATTGTATAACATCAGTGCTAAAAAGCAAGGAAGGCATGGTTGCTTTGTCCGTCCTCAACATCCTGATGGTATCTTTTGCTGCGGATCTACTCTGACAATCAGAACCTTCCATGTAGCTTTCCGGATGGACCTGTCGTCATGCGATGGTAAACCGTTGGCTTCGTCTGGAAATAACACAGAAAACTGTGGTATCCACCAGGGAAAAATTCTCCTTGTTGAGCCGTTCTATGGTGGATCACACAAACAACTAGTTGAGTTGCTCATCAAAGAAGTACCAGGATGCCAGCTGTACTCTTTACCTGCGAAGAAATGGCATTGGAGAATGAGAACAAGTGCACTTTATTTTTACCAGAATATACCACGTGCTTGCAAAAGCACTTGCAAGTGAGTAAGTTTGTACGTCTTAATTAAAAAATTGAAAAGATTTCTGCACAGACCCACTCTATTCTTAAACAAGGAAGTTGTCCCATTTAAGGCAATCCGTGAAGTGTAAAGTACAAGTATGCCTAAGGAAGTATAGTGATGCGCGGAAATCTTGCCCAGTGAGAAATTATATATAACCCCATGTTATTTTAATATGAAGCTGTAATCCCAAAGGCATTTTTTTTCTTCACCAATTTTATCTTTATCCAAGAACTGCATGCATATGGAACTGTTGGGCTGATTCAGTCTCTTGCCAAACAATCAGTTGCTCAACACGTGTGCCATAAATAGCATACATCATTTGTTAGGTATATAATGTTGAATGCAAAATAAAAGTAAATGTAAATGAAACAGATTTGAAGAAATGTAAACTTGGGAAAAAAAAAACACAATAGATACAAATCAGCATTTGGAAAATTGTCCATGGGCCGTACTGGGAGTATATTGGCCCGATGTCTTGACAGTACGGACCGAGCTGCACTCGGTCCATACAAAAAAGACCGAGGGCCAATATTCTTCCAGTATGGTCCCGAGCAAGCNCAACGACACTACGATTCTCTAAGGCGATGCGAATTATGGACGTAAAGTGAAAACCGAACTTTCGGACTTCAAGCAGGGCCTGGCGACAATTTGACGATTCGATGGCCCGGTAAATATTATGTTTGAGTAACAATGTGTTCAAAAAGTATAGTTTAATAGAAGATTTTGCCTCAAATCGAAGTTTTTTCAGAATTTTCACCATAACGCTGCGCAATTTCTGGCCACGAAGGCAAGTAAACAACGATCCAAGCATGATGAATTTTACCGCGTGGGCTTTTTACACGTAAGAAATTCGTACGTTTTTCGCTTATTACAGTAAATCAAAAACTGTTTTGAATAAATCTGACGTCCCGAAATATTTCTTGGCCATTTTAGTCTTGCTTCCTATTGATAGATTCCATGAAACTTGAGATCTCTTCACTCACGGACAAATTTGCATATTCCCTTTTGAAATATGATCCACATGCCTATTTTCACACATGCGAAAATATTTAGCGATTTTTATCTTTCATCTTGATTTTTGAGTTAAAACGTAATATGCACCTATCGCTTTTTTCGCCGGAAATAAGTTCTTTACTTAGTCCTCTTTCACTGGAGCTTGTTTTTTGGAAAAGCTTATTTTTAAAAATTTACTGCGCATTGTGTTTGCCTTCTTGGTTTCTCCAAAATTTTGACTTTTCGTCGGCACGTGTTACACGTAAGTGTCAATGGGTTAATTACACCATCTACAGCCACTTACGGAAAAAGTTATTATTCGTACTGTCATTAGTACATATGTTGTCTTATAATTGACTAGAGAGTTTTGATTTTTTTTCATGATTTTTCATGTTTTTGTTTTGTTTTGTTTTTCTCTTGAGGGTGTTGTTTGCTAGTTCTGTCTTGAATTTGGCAGAATTGGTGGCATTGAGACCAGATCTTGTTCATTTGAAGAAAGTTCTTTACTTCCATGAAAATCAGCTGATTTATCCAGTCAGGAAGCAACAAGAAAGAGACTTTCAGTATGGATATAATCAGATTTTGTCATGGTGAGAACTGTGAAAACAAAAATTATTATTGAAAGTTAGTTGAATTGAATGGATTATCATACATCATGATATCTTAGCACAGTGGCAACAAAACAGGTAAGCAGTACACGCCAACATGCTGCGATATACATGTATTAGACTAGACCATGTGACTAAAACTCCTAAGGGACTCTAGGGTGTGTATATGGTGGCAGTTTTATTGTGGTTGGACTTATTCCGACTGAGTAAAGTATCTCGATGCAATGTGAAAAATGAAATATTAAGTTGTCTGAAAGTTGTAACCTTGGAACCCTAAAACTGCATCTGACCAACCTTATTTATATTGTTGAATTTTTTATATTTGTATTATTGTTTTGTTCAAACATTCCCTTTGGAAATGTTTGAATTGAGCCAGTCCATGTGTAGAAATTCATAAAGCTGTCAATTTTTGTCAAGATGTATCGGATCATGTACTTACATGTATCGCACCTCAGCACTGAAACTCTAGGGTAACAGTTAGTGTGTTAAATGTTACCTCTTGATTTGATTCCTAGTTTTCTTTAATTTGGTTGTATTTTTTTCTACTTCTTCTTCTTCATCTTGTTGTCATTATTGTTATTGCTACTATAATACTTATTGTAATTATTATTGTTTATTTGAACTTGCATTCTTTAGCAAGTCAACCATTTTTTATACTAATGCTTGAAATGTCAGCTTTTTAACTCTTTATTGTAGCTGATTTACAATTTCAACTTAGTTGATATAGTTGATAGAACCAAATGACCTTGTTCCCCCCCACCGATTTCAGCACCACAGTTTCTTTAGAAACTAATACCCCCTTTATTAAATGTTTTTACTATTTTGTTACTGGTGCTGCTGTTTGCATGATTGAGTATTTGTTTGTTTTTAACTGTTATTTTGTGAAATTTTCAATCCCTGAGAGTGACTAGCTAGGTTAGAGCACCGGATTGTGTTGTGCAGGAGGTTGACAGTTCAAGCCCCGGCCAGACCAATACTCATGGTCTTAAAATAAGTGAGGAGAATTTGCTACCTTTCTATAATCAAGAATTGGATAGATATTCTGGTCTTCTTGGATAAGGACGAATAAACGGTAGGCCCCATCTCCTGCAGGGTTAGGGGTAGGAGATGTTAATTTCCCATGCATGAGATTACTGTGTGGTGGAAGTCCTCCCCTGGGTGGGTGTTGGCCCTGAAAAGCCCCTATGGGGAGTGCTCAATTAACCAGTGTAGGTATGTATGTATGTAGTTTATGACTAGCATCTAATTTCTCCATACAATATCACCCCTGAATCACCCATTTAAGTCACAAGAAATAATTACCATCTACAGAAGCTCTTGATTGTTAAACAAATTCTCCTTTGTCAGCTTTAAGGAAATCTATGGAATAAAGTCTGAAGAATATTTTTACGGATGCTGGGATGTGAAGGGTTAAATTAATTTCATGATTTTTCTCCTACAGTCTTGTTGCTGATGTAGTGGTGTTTAACTCACAGTTCAACATGGAATCATTTTTATCATCCATCAAAAGCTTTCTAAAACAAATGCCAGACAATCGACCTAAAGAATTAGACCAAGTGATCAGACCAAAATGCAGGGTAGTGTACTTTCCTTTGATGGAACCTGAAGTGAACATAGAAGAATACTCAGGTGAGGTGGATAAGAAGCTTTAAACCCACTTATCCCTTCGAGTGACGAGCATCTACTGTAAATTCTCGCAGATAAGCTGCACCTGCAGATAAGCCACACTTGAAGATAAGCCATACCCTGAATTTAGCAGCTCAAATTTTGGAAAAAAAAGTTTTTTGGAAAGAAATCAAAAGAGATCCAAAGTCGAGTCTTGAGAAGTCTTCTTCATCCACTGTTCATCAAACATAAACTCACTATTAACACTAGCTGCAACAGAAAATACTTCAAAGTCTTACCCACAATTTTTGCACTTTAATATAATGAACATCGTTCCTACCAACTCTGACATATGATTGATCTTTTTCTGGTATTTGTTGATAGGAATTTCTTCATTCAGTTCAGTTTTTCCATAGATTTTTGCATTACAACAAGAGGGTGAGCGGAACATTGAAAGCTTAGTGATCAGGCATTAGATTGGATGCAAAAATGGAAAACTCTACATCTTTTTCAAATGTTCTTGCAGATAAGCAGCACCCCCAATTTTTAGCAATGATTTTTGGAAAAAAGGTACGGCTTATCTGAGGGTTTTTATGGTAATTTCTCCCGACAGTATCGTGCCCGAATCAAACATTAAGGTCATGACTGATGAGAATAGAGAAAATGATCTCAAACTTGAGAAACTCTTGATTGCTTGACAAATTCTCCTTGTCAACACCTTAGGAAATGTATAGAGAACCGTCTGGAGAATATGCATACTGATATTAGAGTGAAAAAGGTTGAGCAAGAAGTTTTACTTAGAGAAATAACATAGGAGATGGGAATAGTTGGTGAGAGGTTGAGTGACTAAAAAAAATTTCTGTTTACAGTTCTCAGTTTTCTGCATTCTACACATCACGGGATAGTCTTCAGTGTACATTTGTGTGTGTACTAGGGCTACATGATGTCCAATTTGGAAACAACTGGATTAACAAATTCATAGGACAGGCAAAATGGGATGAGGCTGTAGGCCAAGTCCAATTTAGCTGTAAGAAGAGTTTTTTTTGTCCAGGCAATTTTTTTCCAAAATTGAATGAGCCTCTAGCCTTCTTACTTAGTAGTAAAAATATGGCTGGTCAGTTGTAATCGGTCATTGCTCAGTCATGCTATTTTTCTTATTATTTTAAAAAGTGAAAGAATAATAGCTACACCATGTATGCTGACGAATTTGGACTAACTACCAGCTACACAATTAACCTTTGAAATTTAGCAAATAACTCCAGACCTGCTACAATTTATGTACTTTCTCACAAAACTGAAAGTTAATAAACAAACAAACAAAAAAAAAGGGCTGGGCCATCTTCTCCCAGTACAGTATACCTCTAAACCGTTTGACTCCATGGTCATGCCTTGTTAACAAAAGTTTAACCCAACCATTCCTATACTTTGTACAGTTTGTGTCCCCCAACTCAAATCCACAAATGGATACTTGATAACACCAGTATTCCTTTAATTGACACAAAATTTAGGTGCAAAAGGCGATGAACTTGTTCAGCCAATGGAATCAAAAGTGTCCAGGCCCTTGCATATTGTGTGGGCTCACAGATGGTATGGTATATTATGTCAGTATATTTCTAACTGGTCTTTCATGCTTGTTAAAGCAGGTTATTATACGAAGCACAAAACCTAACTGTTGCTATAAAGATCAATGTACATGCTGAAATTGGTCATTTTGTTTTAGTCATAAAAACTGTAGCTTTCATTGGTGTTGATAGGGAACATGACAAAGGTCCCGAGTTGTTCTTCCAAACCCTGTATCAGTTGGCTGAGCTAGGATTGCATTTCAAGGTTTCTGTGCTGGGAGAAACTTTCTCTGAAGTTCCAGGTATTTCTGTCACAATAGTACACTGCACCCAATCAGTATCAGTTGGGTGGACAATAGGCCTTTTGCAACTAGAGATCATGTGCTTAGATACTGCATAGCAATGCCATACTGGAGAGCAAGCACTCCTGTGATCTCAGACAGTATAGAGGTCACAGAGGTCTGCATTCAAACAAAGAATACAGTGGATAACAGATCAAAAGGTATCCCAATTCGAGAAGTCCAGTAAGAAGTAATCAACACCTTCCCCAGAGTGTATCAGCAGCAAAATCACACCAAAATTCGTTTTTCACTGATACACTCCAAGGAAGTTGTTGATTAAAACTTACAAGATTTCTTGAATTGGGATACCCTTTAACTTGTTATCTGTTGTATTCTTTGTTTGAATGCAGACCTCTGTGATCTCTATTTTGTCTGAGATCACTGGAGTGCTTGCTCTCCAGTATGGCCTTGCTATGRGGTATCTAAGCACGTGATCTCTAACTGCAAAAGGCCTATTATGGAACAGTAGCCATAAGAGGCTGTCAGAAGGTGGAAACCCACTGTCAGACCATTTTGCACCAGCTACATGTACTTTGTGAATTGTGATCAAAAGCACTAGAAATTAAGTATTTTTAACTGATTCTGCTACCTTCAATAAGTCCCAGTTTTCAAGAAGTAATATCTCGAGAGTCGTCAAATTTTTTCCCAGAAGAATGTTCCCCCCAGACCCCCTCTGCCAATTGCAAGCATAAGTTTATTCAGCTGCCCACTCAGTTCAGATCATGCAAGTATTACATTTGCCAATGACAGCCCTGCATATAGACATCATTTGTTGGTGAATCGATTACCTCCACAATTTGAGGGTGAAGAGGTAGTTAGGTCGCTAGCTCTCTGTCAGTCCTTACTTGAACAGTGTTTTCCACAGAGAGACCTCCAAGCTTGAGACTGTGCACATGTTTTTGAGATTCTAACCATTCTAGGCTCCATCTACAAAATGTAGCTTTTACCATTAACAATAATTTTAGGTTTAGAACAGGAGGTCAAAAATGTCTTTAGAAAGTGATAAAAAAGTTGTTGTAACTTTTGTAATTTGTATACCATCTCCACGGTAACACACCAGGTGTTTTTGAAGAAGCTTGGACACGAATCCATGATCATATTGTTCACTGGGGTTATCAGGAATCTCGCCAGGAATATATCTCTATACTAAAGGCTGCTGATGTAGCAGTTTCCACTGCAGAGCATGAGTTTTTTGGTGTATCAATGTAAGTCTATGAATGAAATGTATGTTTATATGACGCAAGGCATTTAAGCAAGGTTGAAGTAAGAGTTTCGTGCGACAAAAGCAGCCAATTTTGGCTTCTTTGTTGTCTTAACAATTGTGGTCGCTGACTACAGTTTCATTTTACCGTAAAGTGCGCGAAAAAAATTGGACGTGAACCAGGATCCGCTGACCACCACATAATCTGGGCTCCGCTTCTATCACGTTTCACTGTGCTCACTATTCAGTACTATGGTTAGTCAACATACTGAACACTACTTTTTCCAAACTCCTCCTTTTCTGCGTTCAAAGGTTGAAGTTTTCCACTCCGATTTGTCAAAGGTAAAAGGAGTAGCGGAGAGCAAAAACATTACGTATGGAATCATTTAAAACTTGGATTTCTGGCATTAATTGACCCCCTTACTGTTCAAGACAAGGATGAACTTTGTTGAGCTGGACAGGAAAGAACAGTACACAAGCGCGATTTAAAAACAGGATAGATGAGTAATGTTACATGTAGAGATTTTTGTTACCAAAGTTCAAATGCGGTGATAATTTTTTCTAAATAGCAATTTTTCCATTTCAGGCTGGAGGCTGTGCAATATGGTTGTTATCCACTTTGTCCAAACAAGTTGGTTTATCCTGAAATATTTCCTTGTGAGTAGATACACCGTTTATCAATCTATTCCATGCACCTCTTTGTTGGAAAGTATATATTCATTTCACCAGAATAAAATTATATCTAAGAACCCCAAACCTTAGGTAAAAAACTGAAGAACAAAATCCGGATTTTTACTTTATTTTTATTATTTGTGTTCTTGTTGTCCTTTCCAGCACAGTATTTGTACTCAACACCTCAACAGTTATCCAAGAAGCTGCGATACTTCTGTAGAAATCCAAACAAAGTGAGATTTCATAAAGTCGCAGTAAGTCATTTAGACACAGCCACCAGAGTTGTCTTACTTGATTGCTTCTCAAGTGTGTGCCAAGCTATCAGTCATTGTAAACGAGCGAGAAAAATGGCAAATCAATAAGACGCCGTAGTTGTGGTTTTCAGGGAAACGTGTGGCGTTTTAAGGTGGTTCGTACCGGTTTTCATCTTTTTGATGGTTTGTAACTTTGAAAGCATACAACAGAAAGGCTGACCAAGGCCAGTTGAACACTTTTACGGGGTTGAATTATATAAT